TTAATTAAATGCCCTGTAAAATGACTAAATGACAGATTTCCCTATTCTTTCATACACCAAAACTTGTAAAATCCTTGCCCTTTTATATACCTGAAGCCTGAAAAGGTACCCCCTGGCCTACTAGTATAGACATTAGGATCATAAGTGCTAAAGGCATCCGCGGTCGATACTCTCGATCGATACCCTCAATCAGCATCTCAATCAGTATTTGATCGAGATCCTGATCAATACTCCATTGACACTCAATCGACAGTCGGTCGATAGTTGACTGTGTGTCGACCGACTCATATGAATCGATCGAAAATTAGTCCATCGAGTGTCGACCAAGATGTCAATGGAGTGGCAATCAAGTATCAATCAACACTCAACTGCAGATGCCTTTTATAGGCATGATCCGGGCATTATACAAGGAAACCCCCCAGCCTTAATGAAGGACCGTGCTTTCTTGATCATTTCCCTTGTACCCCTTCTTTTTCAAGAGCCTTCTCTGTCAGACTGTATTCCCTTCCTCTATAAAATTAAACATGGTGATGTGTCAGTCAATTCCAAACTTCAACATTCCCTCCCTGGGTAACCCCTACATACAGACATGTTTATTCAAATTTATATTTCCATAAACTCAAAAAGGGCATTAGATATTTTGATTTTCAGCTGGTGAAATATTCCCATCCCCTGGGCTAAAAGTGATGTTCAAAGGCCCCGCCTTAGGGTCATGCTACGCAATCAAATGCCCCTACCCCCCACAAAAATAAGTAGTGGAAAAGGAAAAACGTTACCCTCAAATGGCAAACAACTGCTTGTAGCCATGACTGTGCTAAGAACAATGATTTTTTTTTATTTATTATTAAACCATGAAAGGGACTAACTCTTCACAAGTGAGACTTCATGTTAACCTTCAAACACTGTAGCAACATTTTGAAGGCATTGCTTTTGATCCACACTCTGTACAAAGAAAAGTGTTGCAACGCTTCACCAGATCTGGTGGCAACTTGTTCAAATCCCCTTCCACACATCCCAACAGTATTGTCCCCTAACATCAACCGAATGATGTTGAATTTGGACCCCCCCCCCCAGGGTGTATCAACTTGACTAGGAATGTTGATGTCTCTATTTGATCAATACATGATTCTCGAGTGATTACTTTTTTATTTTTTTTAAGACCATTGGTGGATTAGCTCCAAAGTATATATGTGACCTAATTTCTCTTAAACCTAGCACCAGTTATAGTCTGCAATCAAATGATGAACTCCTATCCTTTTAAGGTCTTCTGCTGTCAAGACTTGCTACTTTTGGGCTTTTATTGTTGCAGCACCAAAACTGTGGAACACGCTTCCTCAACGGCTTTAACAGATTGACTCACTTACTGAAAACATATCTTTGAACTGGCCTTTAATTGATTAGTTAATTAACGAATATTAGATTTGTAATTTATTTTATCTATATATGTATTTATTTGTTGTTTTCTTATTTTCTTTTCTATCATTTTGTGAGGCACATTTAAAAGCTTATGTTGAATTTGCACCACACAAATCTTTGTTATTAATATTATTATTTAAGTGCGGCGTGTCACATACTAAGTTGCGCTTGGAATTCTACATTTTCCTGTAAAACTTTCACTTTGTAAAAAAAATATATTCTTAACATTTGATTTATGATCCACAGACATTAGTGGTGGTCGCCAAGGAATTTCACAAGTTCAATCAATATCATTTCTTAGTACGCATTACGTGCCTACACGTCACCTAATTAAAATGTGAAAAAAAAGTAGGCGTATAAACTGTGGCGTTAGTGTCCTTTTGCATTCCTAAAAATGAATTTGCCGTCTGAAAGTCAAATTAGCAAACATAAGCAGAAAAAGAACGTAAGGATTTGATTAGCCTGTGAGCAGGCTTCGGCTGGAGGGGTCTGGACCAAGAAGTAAAGTTGCCGAAGGGGGAATGGTGTGGGGGTTGGTCTCTTTCTTCCCTCCTTCTTTTCGCCCCATCCTCGATCGACCAGAGAGCCTGTTCACAGGCTAGGATTTGAGGCTTCAGCTTATGCTTGTGCCTAGTCACGATTTTCGCCGCTCTCTCGTGTCTGGTCCACGTTCCTCCAATCCACGAGAAGAGCTTGGCTTCGGGGGAGGAGCGCGGGCTCCTTTCTTGACCAGCGGCTGGTAATCGAGCCTACAGTAACTTATGCCCGGTCGTCCCCATTAGTTAGCGCATAGGTTTCTTTTATTATGCTTCGCTTACGCTTGCGTCGCAAGTGAGAACCGGGCTTAACAAGCCATCCTCAGATCAGAGATCCAGGGGCAGTCATCAGTGAGAGAAAGTCTAAAAACAACGGTGAAAAAATCGGCGAAGAAAAATGTTGTTCTCTCCCTTCGGTGAAGAATAATGTTGTTCTCTCCCTTCTTTGCCCAAGNTTGCGTTAGTGTCCTTTTGCATTCCTAAAAATGAATTTGCCGTCTGAAAGTCAAATTAGCAAACATAAGAAGAAAAAGAACATAAGGATTTGATTAGCCTGTGAGCAGGCTTCGGCTGGAAGGGTCTGGGCCAAGAAGTAAGGTGGCCGAAGGGGGAATGGTGTGGGGTTGGTCTCTTTCTTCCCGCTTTCTTTTCGCCCCATCCTCAAGCGACCAGAGAGCCTGTTCACAGGCTAGGATTTGAGGCTTCAGCTTATGCTTGTGCCTAGTCCCGATTTTCGCCGCTGTCTCGTGTCTGGTCCACGTTCCTCCAATCCACGAGAAGAGCTTGGCTTCGGAGGAGGAGCGCGGGCTCCTTTCTTGACCAGCAGCTGGTAATCGAGCCTACAGTAGCTTATGCCCGGTCGTCCCCATTAGTTAGCGCATAGGTTTCTTTTATTATGCTTCGCTTACGCTTGCGTCGCAAGTGAGAACCGGGCTTAACAAGCCATCCTCAGATCAGAGATCCAGGGGCAGTCATCAGTGAGAGAAAGTCTAAAAACAACGGTGAAAAAATCGGCGAAGAAAAATGTTGTTCTCTCCCTTCGGTGAAGAATAATGTTGTTCTCTCCCTTCTTTGCCCAAGTACGGTTCCCCGATGTTTTGACTTTCACCCACTGACTGTCCCCTGGGTCTGCGAGGATGCTTACAAGCTAGCACGCAGATAAGACTGGGGCCTGGACAAGTGTCAGCGCCATCCTCGCGAGCTTTCTTTCTTTGGTATTCTTTTTATCTCAAGGGAGACGGGAACCCCCAAACTACCTCAATAACCGGGAATAGTACGCACAAAGGGGTGGGGATTTGACAGTCCCGAAGGTAGATTGTTCAAAAGGTGGATAACGCCACCCGATAAGTCGCTATCCACTGGATATGTGTTAACAAAACAAACTCCATCAGCCATCCACTGGATATTGAACGGATTTATGCGTTTGATAGTGCTATCCATCCTTTGAACAACTACGACCGGGGTATCCATATTCTAGACATTTTATAGAATGGAGTATAATATTTTGTGCGCTCGAAAGCTTCAAACTTTTAGGTCGTTAAGAGGTATATAGGCTTTCAAATGTGTTATTTAAAGGTTAAGGTATCATTTTGAAGGCTGGTTCGTTCTAAAACGGGGTCCAAACTTTGAAAACCGGAGGTCATAACCACCCAGCCTACCAAAGTACCCCTCCAGCACCTTTTCACGTTTTCTTGGGAGTATAGGTGACTCTGGCTAAGAACATGCAAGAAAAAAACAACTCTTCTGAGAAAAGCTTGAAGCAGGAAGTGATTAACTCTAATCTGCCTCGCCTGAGATCAAAGTTTGAACAAAATTCAATAGGTTGTGTCGACGGGCGAGTGAAATACTTTGCCAGTTGATAAAGAAAAGACGACCGCCCTAGAGAATTGGAAAAATTGCCAGGTTTTGTTTTTGTTGTTGTTGTTGTTTTTTTTTTTGTTTTTTTTAATATGAGCCTTTGTGATCACGGATTGATTGTGGGCATGAGTACAAATCTGCCAGTTGTACAAAAAGAGTATAAACATTAGTGGGCACTCTGGTTATGAACCTGGAGCCACTGGAATTGAAGACGAGAAGCGAGAATCATGCACTGATACTAGAGACCGCTAAACGGCTATGTAGAGAAAGAGCACGGGCCCTGGAACGAGGTTCAAGATCTCCCAGCAGTAGAGGTACCGCGCAATCTTTCCGTCCCCTTCTTCGGGGAGGGTGCGTGAATGAATGTGTAAATCAAACATACACTTCTTGATGCCGCGGCTTCGCACCTCGTAAAGAAACCCACAAAAGTGGATTACGTCATCATTAGCGAAATTGTACTCACATACTGGGTAGAAAGCGTACAGAGCTCTTCCCTACCACCCCCTCTCTGAAAATTTTGTGCTCTCGCCCCAATTTTCGCGCGACCAGCCAGCAGGCGAGAAACTCGGAACTCTTCGCTCGTGACGCAGGCTAAAGCTTGACACCTTTACGCCCGGGGGGCTACTCGTAGAAAAATTGGGTAGGGGTGTGCGGCCCTCTTCCCAAAACCCTTACCCTATTTTTTAAAAGACCAAAATCTGTAATTAAAAAAAATCAAACCCTTTAGGGCCGCACATACCCATATTGCCCATTAAGGGAGTGCCCCTCCCCCTGGGGAGCCTGTAGTCAAGTTCCGTTGATTGATGAGTTCGACTGCTACCATTGTTGAGATCAAAGCACGTCATTTCGCGTGCAGAGAACACGAGCTGCCATTTGAGAAAAATACTTCCCACCAATATTTGCCCGATTTCCCGCCTTACCCAGGTCAGCGATCAGTGGCATCCACAGCGACCTACTGTACAGACAATCGGAGCAAAAAGATTTCTAAAAGGTTCTTTGAGAGGAATTGAGGATGAGATGCTAGGATATATAGTTCTGGCCTATGCCCGAAAAAAAAAAAAAAACAATTTATTTCTCGCGAATGATCGTTCAAATGACCTTGTAACCTGACTTCAATTGTTGATGACGTAATATCCGTTTCAGCATTCCAACGTGGCCACTTCTGTCAATGCCTTCTCAAATTTTAAACCCGGTTATAAAGGCCTGATTGTCCTGCGAGACGCCTCACTTGCACATTACACAACCACTCGCTAAAAACTTGGGGACACATCGAGCGGAATACCAAGATGAAGGTTGCTGTAGCGATCCTGGTTTGCGTAGTTATTCAACAAGGTATGTGTTTACGTTTTGATTCCTCTCTACTCGAAGAATTAGAAACAACGCAACAACCTCTTGACATCGATACATTTTAATATTTGTCAGTATCTTTCTGGCGTTGACCTCTTTGTTAACGTTTTCTGGACGTTAAAACCAAATGTTCCTTTCTTTTTACCACCGAAATTGAAGATTCAGGTTGGCTGTTTCGATACTTTGTATAACTGCTTGAGTTTTGAGAGTTTTCTTTAGCGCACGTCTCGAAAAACGTTTTGTCGTAATAAAGTCGCGAGAAAGAACGCGCGGCTAACCACGCGAAATCCGCGCTGCGTGAACTAGAACAGTGAAAAGTTTCATCCTTCCTTCACGCTTGTCCATGTAAATAAAAGAAAACTAGAAAGTGGAGTAAGACAATCTGCACTCAAGCTATAAAACACAGTACTTGATCTCTGATTTTGTCCGAATTTTAGCCTGAGAAAAAAAAAAAATGGTGTCCGGAAATTCTTGTCTTCTAAAAAGACCAAACACGAAGAGCGTCATGGCTGTTACGGCGATCAGTGGGATTTTCTCATTGTACCTGCCTTTTGATTGCAGATTTCGTTAAATTCTGTTTTTCCTTTTTTTTTTTTCGGTTACCGCTATTTCCGGCGCAATGTTACAGAATCCTTTATGATCACCAAACGTTGCGTAGCCAAACGGGAAATCACAACGCAATTCGTAAATGGATACATTTGAAGGAATTTTTCCTAATCTCTCGAAACCATGAGCTCAAGCTCACTCAATCCCAAAGTGCATGTTTACTTTTCTCAAGGATTTCCTGAAGATCTCATGACATTAACTCCGGGCTTATTCCAAGTCTAGTGTTGTTTTACTGGGTCTGAACAAAGTCAGTATGATCTTAGGGAAAAACATGTTCGGAGAAGAATGCTTATCACGGCAATTATCAACTTCCCGTCTTGTTATGGTTGGCTAGGAGACTTCCCTTCCCTCCTCGGATTTTCTTAGGAAATTTGTTTCATAGATCACGGTTGAAGTTCCTGCCATGTTTATTTTCTTAATGTTCAAATAAATGACGTCCGTTCTTCTCCAACTTCTAGAAGCGAGGGACAATTTCTAACATATACAAGTATATTATTAGGATCAAGTTTGTGACGTAGAATTTTGCACAGTTAATTTATTAAACTCCAAAGAATCTGAGACGTTTTGAGTGCATATGCTTTACAACTAGCCTGCGAGAGCATCCGGTATTTTCAGCTCTCGTTTCACGCGCCGAGAAAATTAACACAGCGGATTTTTGGAACCTCCACTGAAACGAAAATTGATCAAAAATGCATGGTTTGAAAAATCGGGCTGCTCCAGAATTACAATGTTCGACTGAATAGAGAAGCGACTTTTGTTCGAGTTATCGCGGGGAGATTTGAAAAATCGAGGGTTGGAGAAATCGACTGTACCTTTTCTTTGAGGTTGTTGTATAAAACATCTATCGAATATCTCACCCCAGGAAGTCTTACTTCTGAGCATCTCGGATTATGTTTTTGCGAGAATCGAATTTCTTCGATGATCTTATTTTTATTACGCAGACAACATCTGACGAGTCCAAAGAGCATCTGTGTGGGGGGGCTCATACCCTGCAGGATCGATTTCCTCGATGACTCGATGACATCGTGTTTTGTCTTCATTTATTCTTAGAATTTCGGACCTTGAACGATGTTTTGAAATGACTATTCGTGAAAGTAGCTGCTCTTGAGGTCTCCTTGGCCTTTTGGCTGAGATTTAGCGCGTGTGCTGAGCTTATGATAGCTTGTTGTTTTCGTGAGCAAAACGCGAAGCGCAATGCGTAGCGCGAGGCCAAAATATTTTTCGTTGCTTTTTTCTTGCCCCTCGGCACGTTTATCACACCTCCACTCTGCCGTGTATCGACTTCAACTCTTCCTCTCGATTTCAAATGCTTCAAAACAGAGACTGCTCAAGCAGTCTGCCTGCCCCATAAACTAGAGAAACAAGAGCCTTGTGCCTAATCGAAAATGGTGAGACTAACAGTCTGTCTGCCCCATAAACTTGAGAAACAAGAGCCGGAAAAATCCGGATGCTCTCACAGGCTTCAAGTCGATTTGTAGAATCCAATTATTTTACTCAACTCAAGCTGTAAAAGGTGACACAAACAACAATCTGCGAATCACGAGATTGTCAACTCATCAAGAAGCAGTTAAGATGAGACCAAAGTCCAAATTAGTAATCCCTCGCCTCCTGCGGATTTCAACAAAATTCAAGAACTTTCTTTCAAAAATATTTCTTCAGAAAGGTTTTTCCTTCTATAAGTGAACTACATGATACAGCACCAAAAACATGACTGTTTACTCGTGATATCAGAGCTATTGTTTGAGCTCTCTTTTGTTCAAAACTGTATTTGTCCTGCTCAAGTTAGTCCTTCTGGTAGGCCCATTCGACACAAGTTAAAAATTTAATAAAACTGTGCAAAATTGCTCGAAAACGAGCCCACACACAACGTACGTCGATTATAGTTTTTGTAATTTTGGAAACGAAACATCTCGTATTGAAGCCAAAATTTCACTTGAAGTTTTCTTTATCCCCCGCGGTTATCCTCGTCCTTGTTCCCAGAGCAGTCTGTCCCTCTTATAGCCGAGGGGGCCTTGGCACAAGGAAAAAAGTAGGCCAGAAAATACATACATGAACATCATTTGATTGGCAAGATTCTTGAATTCTTAGGATTAATAATCTATATCGGAAGTGCCGGATTGAAAATGGTGAGACTAACAGTCGCATTTTAATTCTTCTCTTTTTATTTCTCTATTTTTTCATCCTTTTCTCAAAAGCATGTGGATTCTCGTTCCCGTCCTTCGAAACCGGCAACGAAGCTCTTGAGAAAATCAAAGAAGCTGGAAGGGAGATAATAGCGAAGGCGAGCAAAAATGTCGAAGAAATTCAAGAAACCGTGGAAGAGAAGCTACAACCAACCGAAAAGGTGAAAAAAATGTGGAAAGAGATCGAAGAAAAGATCGAAGAAAAGGTCAACAATCAGAAGGAAGAGTGGAAGGAGCGAAAGAAGCAGATGAAAGAAATGTACAAGGAACTTAAAAACAAAGCTGGTGAGAACAAAGACGAACTGGTCAAAATGTGGAAGGAAAACAAAGGTACCTGGCGCCAACAAGCTGAAGAGGTCAGTGTAGCGTTATGTTTTTTTAACGAAGCTACGTCACGATTTACGTATCTTAAAAATTTTAGCCTAAATTTTTCAAGTTTGACTTTTTTAATCCGTGTTAATCTTCTCCGTCCTTAACCATTTCTACTTTAGTAAACTAGTTATGACTCAGGATACTATTGCAGAGCTCCTTTAACAATGACAAGCGTGAATGTCTCGTACTACCTGAATTGCCAGCCTGCCTGGGAGCAGGCTCACCTTTTAATCACGCGCACGAGCGAAGCGATCTGGCGGGGAGGAGCCTGGTGTTCGTGCGTGTACATGAGCCTTCTAGCAGGCTATTGAATGACCAGGTTATTTATTTGGTCTTTTTAAACTTTTAGAAATGGCAGTCGTTTAAGAGCATGACAGCGGAAAACCTTGAGCAGTTCAAACGGGAGATTGACAGCCTCGAGGAAAGACTGGACGCTACTGCTCCCGAAAAACCTTGGAAGAAAATTAAGGATATTCGCGCGGGGGTGAAGTCCCTTATCATGTAAGTAGAATGGACTCACTCTCTCTCTCTCTCTCTGTCTCTCTGGGGACGAGGTTGGTCCCTCTCAAGAAAGTGGGTCAGTCGGACGAGGGAGCCTGACCTTTAATTCGAAGTGGATTTGAAACGATTTCCTCACTGCACGCTACAACTTATTTATGCATTCTTCATTGGCCAAAGATATTTTGTTGAATATATAATCAGAAGAGGTACTTTCCATTTCTCTTGCTCGTTATATAAATGATAATATATGACACGGTTTAAAAGCTCACTGCAGTGGCTTCACAATTTCCACAGTGTGCAGACTATCCATTTTCCAAGTTGAGTGGCTTATAGCCACTTTGATAGATTGACGAAAGAAAAGACAGCACTATACATACTGATCCCCCCTTTTGTCTTTCTCTCTCTCTCTCTCTCTCTCTCTCTCTCTCCCTACAGAGAAATGAAAGAAGCCTTCCAAGTGAAACTGCGCGAACTGAAAGAGAAAGCAGAAGAATTAGGACCCGGCACAGAAGAGGAACTGTCAGCGGAAGAAAGCGAAGAAGCGTCAGAGGCGACTTTCACTGATGAGCTAATTACTGATGGACCTTTCACTGACGAATTTGCCCCGACGATCTCGATTACCACCGAGCCCGAAGAACTACCGAGCACACCCGACGTTACCACGGACCAGCTCGAGCCAACTGAGATGCTATCAACGCCTACCACAGAGGTACTGCCCACGGAGTACCCCGACGAGGAATGGAATCAAGAAGTGGTAAATGATGAGGCGCAGACTGGTGAAGAATCGGAAGAAGAGGAAGGTGAGGACGAAGTGCCAGTGGCAGGAGCAGTCGAAGAGGAGGATGACGATGATGAGGAAGAGGAGGAGGGGGATGAAGAAGAGGCTCCCGTATCGGAAGAGGAGTCCTCCCGGATTAATATACTCTCCCGCCTCATGTCGGAACGAAGAAACCAGAAGATGAAGCACTGGATGAAGCGAGGAAAAGCCATGAAAAGCAAGCTCAAAAGTGTGATGAAAAATTGGTTCAATAAGCGAAGGGGAGATCAGAATTAGATCCATAAGAGTCTTCCGCTCTATTTTGTTTTATTCCTTAAGCATTGATTCGCTTAGTAGAGATCGTCTAAAAAATGCTTTTATTAATATCGTGGTCAAGTTCTTATGTATGTTTGAAATTTTCACGTAGATGTCAAACTTTTAACTGTAGTTATTACGTTTCAAAAATTTGATAAGCTCGCTGATTTATTTTTATTTTTAAGCTATTTGGATGCCATAACAAAAGCTCAAATTACTGATTCGCGATAAATTCAATTGAATAAGTACTTCTGTAGTCGCGGCTATGAGCGCTATTTTTGACCTATGCTCTTAGAAGCAAGCCAATGCTATCGAAGTCTTTCATAGCACGACTAATCACAAATATCACCTCAGTGCAGAAGATATATTTCATTTCACCATAGAGATTTGCTGATTTATTTGTAACAAATTTGTTGTAGGGGACTCATTAATTTTTGTGTGTTGGTTTGTCAGAAGTTATGTCAAAGTTTGTTGAATCAAATAAAAACGTTTGAGAGGCAAGCACTTGTTTTAGTTCTTGAAAATCACTCCCGATTTTCTATTTCTTTTACTCTGAGGTAAATGTGTCCGCATACGAGCCAAATGGCCCATCAGGCCGGAGCTTATTCCGGTTTCTGTAGCATTAAGCGACGAGGAATATTTCTACTCCCCCCTGAATGGAATGCTAGCCTACCGCAGGGTCACCCCCGGCACCCATTTATACACCTGGGTGGAGAGAGGCACTGTGAGAGTAAAGTGTCTTGCGCAAGACACAACGCAATGTCCCCGGCCAGAGCTCGAACCCGGAGTGCTCGATCCGGAGACGAGCTCACTAACCATGAGGTAACCGCGGCCCCCACTTTTAGCCACAGAAGTCTTTTCTCCAGGCTTTCCCGATCTACTTAGTCCGAGATGGAAGACCTGTAAGGGCAAAAGCTCGAACTGACTACCATAGTCACTGAAAACCGGAAGTGAATGGCAGGGGTGAGGACCTGTGTTGTGAGTATTGTGTCAGAGCTATACATTGTAAACTGCACTATCTGAGATTGTCTCACTAATTATAGATCAGGATTATCGGAGTACTGAGCACCATGACTTCGTTTTTTGAAGTCTTCGTGCCCGTTCGACTGCAGACTCTTTGATTGCCCGCATGCGTTTATAATCAACATTGAAAACTTCTGTTCTGCTCAGAATGCACGACGTATGCGTTTAAAATCAGCCACGAAAACTTCTACTCAGAATGCATGACGAATGCGTTCATAATTAACATTGAAAACTTCTGCTCAAGGGGTATAACGCATGCGTTTATAATCAGCATTGAAAACTTCTATTCTGCCCAGAATGCATGAAGTGGCGTTCATAATCATCGATGAAAACGTCTGCTCAGAATGCTCGAATGACCGTTATTTTCTTCCTCTGTATATGTCTAGGAGTCTTGGCGAACTTGGCATTAGCAAGTTTAATATGAAAATTATCAAGACTTGTTTTTGGACTTAAATATAAGCTTATAATGTGAAAGCGAGCTCAATGCGAGAGAGCGGGCTGTAGAAATACACCAGTTTTACAGGAGTTATCCCATCTTACGGTCTTTGAGTTTCATCAAGAGATTATCAAGGTAAGCTTACCTTGATAATCTCTTGGTTTCATCAAAGTGTGCAAAAGTGAAAATGTCGGCTTTTGTCATTTCTTCGGGCTTTTCGGTATATGGGTAGCTTGAAGTCAGCGATAATTGATGCGCGGTTTGACTGTCGCGCGCGCTAAACAACAAAAGTATTGGATCTCTCTCTTTATCGACAAAGCGAGGAGGTCCTGAGACTCTGGTCTCTGGGGCTTTTATTCTTTGGACGTCTCCGTCTTACTTGTACAGCTGCTTCTACTACTAAAGGTGCTACTCCTCAAGAACTACTATTTGACTAACAATTACTCATGCACTTAAATAGCCTATCGGTAGCCATGTGTGGGCCACACGGGACGAACTGACCTCGGAGGATTGAGCATCTTTTAAGCCGGAATACTAACCCAAACACTAATTATCACTTGACTTTCAGAATCGAACTACAAAGTTCTTGATCATGAAACAACCAACAGAAACTAAAGTTTAGAGAACAAATGCAACAAACCTAAACAGGAACTTTGTTGGAGATAAAGACTAAGGCCAGTAGACAAACTCGAACATGACTATTGATCGGGTTTTGTTCGGAGCTTATGTACTCTTGATAAACTAAGATAAACAACTTGAAGTCATATGACTCACTGTGTAGACATGGCGGACCCTAAAATCACAAGGCTAATAACTACAAAATGATAAACAATTGGTGATCACCAAAGAAAAATTCTATACAAGTTTTTGAGCTTCATAGCGAAAGAAACACAAGAAGCCTAGCCTGTGTGGCTTGAGTGATTTCCCGCGAGAGTCAGTCAACTTGAATACTCTCCATTCTAAAGCGCGCGAATTAAAAATAAGCACCAGTTCCGAGTAGTTTGGCCGAAGGCGCTAGGCCGGTGTGCTCGCGAGCTCTCGCAAAATGTCCTGCTTGTTTGATAGAAATCCGAAACTTTTCGGGTGTTTCCCGAAAAATAACTATACCTGTTTCTTTTCGTTAGTGACGTTCCAATCGATTAGAAGAGGGCGCTGACATTTTCGATCATCAAACAAGAGCTGAGAGATGTTCTTTTTTTGAGATTGCAGCTCACAAATTATTATTGTTTTAATCTAACATCAATTTAATATCATTGTTGTAATAAAAGACACCCTGCCAAAGCTTCCCGCTCAGTTTTAGCCGCTTGCAATTTCCGCTTATTTACAATTGCACTTTCTGTTTTGTATTTCGATCTTTGCTTTGGAATTATCTAAAGTTAAGATAAAAGGCCGCCTGCCGTTTATGAAGAATTTTGGCAGTTAATAAAACCTGTACAAGAGAGCTTAAAGAAATTGAAAATGATCTTTGGACATTATCTAATTTAAGCTTGACTGTTACAAAATGCTCGCAGTGTAAATGCTGAACTTGGCTAATATTTCTTGCGCTTTAGCTTCAAGTTTTTCAAAGCCAGGCCATTGACCGGCAAGGTGTCTGACCTCCTGAACATGAACCGAGCACAAAGGTATATGTAGATGAAAAAGAACGAATAGGCAGTGTGTTTTTCACCATGGATTAGCTGGTGCAAATAAGTGAAAGTGTTTTTTTTCCAACAATTTTAATGCCGTAAAAAACGTGCGAGAGCAACTTATTCAAACAGCGGTCTGTATGTGAATTTCAATAAGATGTATTTTCTTTTAAAAGAGTAGAGCAATCTTGGTTTTAAGCTTTTAAAACGTCAAATCTATATCATGCTAAAACTAGTAAAGTTTTTTCGTTTGTTTTGACAAGACTTTTCTCGCCTTATGTGAATGCGTGATCAAAGCGTTTTTGTTTCATTGTTTGCTATTTTTTCCCGTCAGTATAATCATTACCCAGAGGTAGAGTGATTTTAAATTGCTGAAATATAATCCTAGAAGCAGGTTTTCATAAAGATCTTGTTTTGTCAAAAGCAAGTAGTTGACTAAAGGTCTTTCTTCTGTGATAGAACGACTAAGAAATAAAATAGATTAGATACAGCTAAAAAATTATTAATAGAAAAAAATAATAAAGGGCCGGAACCATTCCGAAATCACTGAAATGAAAAGGCACTTGGTGAGTTCTAATTGCCCGGTGGGAATACAAGCATTTTTCCATATTTCGAAGTTTTGGGAATAAAGTTATATTAAACCGCCACTGAAGGACGCAAGATCACCGTTGAGCTGAACAGTTTTCAAAAAAAGAAATGCAGCCTTTTTTTATGCCTTCATAAACAAACTTGAACACTGATTATAGCTTAACAACAACTCCTTTTTTAATTCTGTAATTTTTAATTCTGTATGTACAAAATGATAAACTATACTGTTTCATGTTGATTAATTTTAAAGCAGTGTTTGAAAGATCTCATTAGCAAACCTTTGGGCGTCATTTTCTCTGTTTTTACAGCAAATAATAAAGACAGAGCTATAAATTAGTTTTAATACTGTCAGTGCAGTGTAATCACGAATTTTCGCCCGTTAAATTCGACTGTGCAAATAAGAATTTTAATCTTTTTCCATGCTTACTAATTGCACGAATTCGCCTGTTTCTCGCTGTTTTCTCAATTTGCTCAGAAAAATAAATATACTCTATTATGAAAACAGGTGCAGTGTTCTTCAGTGACTAGTCTATTATAATTACATTTTGCTTTTTTTCTCCCAATGAAAACACTAATATCCGCCTCACACCGTTTCGCGCTTTTAAATCCACTTTCTCTCATTATTTAATTACTAGTGTTTCCACAAAACTCGACCTGTGAACAAAGCAACTAACCTTTGTAAAAGTCGCGCCAAAATTCTAAGAGTTTCACAATTTAACAAAAGCCTTATAGTTCATCGGGCTGGTAAAATTGAGAGCGACTTCTAAAAAAAAACTGATCATGTTGTTATTAGCATATTACAAGCATTTATGCCGCATGATCGGGGAAAGTAGTTTAAGTTTTCGTTGCTGTGTGTGTTTGTTTGTTTCCCCAGTGATAATCCAAACACAGAAATCATCTTTCAAAAGAATGTCATTTAAATAATCAATATGAGGCTCTCTTGTTCCTCCCCAGACGCAAAGTAAAAACAAATTCAACATCTCCGTCGCAGCCTCATAAAAGATTTTGACAGCGCACTACCTCAAAACGGTGCGGTGTTCCAAGCTTATTTCCGTAGATGCGTCATTCAAAATAACAAACGAAAGAGCTAGCGATATTTTTAATATATTCAGATGTAAACATGATGAGTTTTATTCTAAAGAAGTAGCCCTTTTTTTTCAGGAGAAAAACTGAAATCGTTTAATCGTAATGTAAAATCGCTGTTATCGCGTAGATCAAACATTTCGAACCAAACGATGAACGCGTCACTGCTATCAGTTCGACGATTTCGGATTTAGATTCATGGATTCGGATGTTTATATTTTCACCTCTCTCGGTAGAGAGGCGGAAAGTGACTTGAAACTCAGCTCGTGGATAACACCTGTCTAAATACGCACAAATAATGACTCGCTAAAATACGACTTAATTGTTTTTCACAGAATGAGAAGCTTATATAAATGACCTGCACATCGCCAAGATGATCATATTTGCTAAGAGACTTGACTTCCCTTTAAGATGCTATCGTGCCGCGCACAAAAGTACGATATAGTCCCCATGCTGTGAGACGCTTATAGACCTATATACAGGAAAATATCAAATAAGACGTATTTTCACCCGGGGTTGTGTAGCGACGCAGGAAAACTGCGGAGGTTAGCCAGCATCAACCATACATCGGATTCAAACTCTGGCAACATGAAACTTTATATATTTTATGATGGATATCTCCTGACGCCCAATGCCGCTTTGGCAATCGTGTTTGTCATTTTTGGAATTTACACGGTCGTTGGCAATGTCTTAGTGTGCGTGGTGTACATTTTGGATCCGGGAAAAAAATTGCGCCGAGTATCTAACTCGTATTTTGTCATCAACTTGGCCATTGCGGATATTTTAGTTGGAATCACAGTAGAGCCTATAAACGCAGCTAGTTACTGGACGAAGAACCGAGACGTCCTCTTCAGTTATTATATTTTTGCCGTTCTATCTTGCGTTTGCTCCATTGTGAACATCTCGGCTTTGATGATCGATCGTTTTCTCGCCGTGGTACGACCGTTTAAATACCGTTCCCTGGTTTCGCCGATCCGCGTTCGCGTGGCGCTGTTAATTATTTGGCTGTTCTCTATTCACTTCTCTGTACTGCCTCTCGTGGGATGGCGAAGCGCCAGTTTTCAAGTGTACCTCTATGGTTTGGGCGTATTACTCCCAGCTACACTGATGCTCTTATCCTACTACGGATTGCTGCGGACGTTAAAAGACAAAATCTCCAACTTGAAAATATCCACCGATAGAAAAGAAGCAACACATGTCAAAAAGATGGTGTCTCGCGAACGTAGAGTTTCTATGACAGTTTTTATTATGTTGATGGTTTTCCTCGTTGCTTGGGGTCCGTTTGTAGTCGTCGATTTTGTCCTCGTATTTTGCCAGAATTGTCGATCTGAAAAGCTTCTTTTGGCGCGAGACATAACGTTGACAGTGGGGTTTTTCTCGTCGGGAATTAATCCTGGTTTATATGCTTGGCGAGTCCCGAATTTCAGGAATGGGTTAATGCTTTTATTCCAACGAGGTTTAAAATCTCCGTCAAGACTTGTCCAAGTCGCTCCTTTAGCAAAAGACAGTAACACAGCTGTTATCGACTCACAAAGTTATGTAGGAAACAACGGTATGTATGGTCTTGCTGACAAAGCAAGCCGCAGTGAAATACAAAAAGAAACCATTAGTTTATTCTGAATTCAATGTACATTAACTGCTTCCAGTTCTTTCGACAATGTAGGTCTCTGAACGGCATTAAAATAAAACACTAAATTGTATTTATTTGTTGTTTTCGTGTCAGATTTTACAAGAATTGAACTTTATGACAAAACTCTGAACAAACAACTGAACGGTTGGGTTTGTTTCAGGTGAAAATCTCTTCAGTTATTGGGGATTCATGCAGTAAAAGACATTAAGGATATTTATTCCGTAACACATAATCGTCAACTCTCGGTCAACAATTAGAAGTTCAGTTCCAAAGCGGATATTTTTCTTTGATTTTTGGAAGGATATGGACTCTACGCAAGGCTAAGAAAATCAAAATCAAATATTCACCGATAAACAAGTAAGTTATTTCTCAATAATATTTACGAGAATATTTTTCTTTTTAGAATTCAGTTGAACATCGATGTTTTCGGCGCGATTTCTTATTTTACCGAGACAGGTCCCAAAGAATGGCTAGCTAAAAAAAAAATGGAATATGAAGCCAATTATATTTAATACGAGCCCTTTTCAGGAGAAGAAAATTGATCATGCTAATGAAGATCAACATGTTTGAGAAGAGAAATTAAGAATTTGGAGTAAATGTCTAGCTCTCTGATTGTCAGCCAAATTATTTCACTCTGAATATATTTTCAAGCCTGAGGATGAAATTCCCTCTGTAATGAACTTCCTGCGCTAAATTTCTAGTAATAAAACTAAACTTGCGAGAAAGAAATTGACGTGCTGTTGTTAAAGCGGTGGTTAATTTTAGTACACCTGGGATGTTTCACAGAGTAATTCACAATTTTTTTTTTTTTTTAACATAAACATACAATACAGAACTCAAGAGGGCATTTCCATGCATGACAAAAAAGTAATAAAATCCCATTACAAAAAGCCAATACAATGTGCCGGTCATAATTTAAAGACTCGCGTTTTGTAAGCTACTTTTCACAATTTCAGGTCTGACACTTTAATTAGTTTTACGTTTGCATTCGCAAACGATGTCAGAATCGAAATGTTGCGACTTGTCAAACGGCTGATATTCAAGGTGTCGATAACTCTCATGTCGTTGCTAACCATGAAATAAATGATTATTGCTCTATGGAGATTCAAACACTGATTTTTATTTCCCGCTGATAAGATTCAGTTTTCCCACGCTTTAGATTATGTACGGAAGACAAGACAATACTTGAAAACGTGACCAGCTTAGCAGAGGAAAATACGGTGACAGAAGAGGAAAGAACTCCCCTAGCTAAGTTTCTTTCAGTCAACATAATTAATTCTTCTTGTTCTTCGGCGAGTTTGGAAAGTTCATCTGCTAAATATCACTACGCCATATGCCATGTAAAATTTCTTACAAGGTGTCCTGAGTTATTTCAACTCCACTTTCGTACTTTGACTTTGTGCAGAGTCCGAGCAACATTACTACTGGGTAAACAGATGGATGACGTCATCCATAACAAATATGGCTTCCTCAGTGACCCTCAGTGGGCNATAATTCTAAAATTTTGTAGACCCAGATATCCCATGACTCTTTGTAAACAAACTTAACTCGCACCAGTTTCCACGAGTGAT